TTGGTTTTCACACATGTACTTTTCTGGGATCCCAAAGATCAAAGACACTTGGTGAGACCTTAAATTTGCCTTGGCCTTGTCACTTCACAGAGGGGAAACAGTGCTGCATTTCCCCCTTTGGTGCCTGCTGATAAGCGTGGAGAGGAAATCCCAGGGCCTCTGCAGTCAGCCCCGCCCCTTTGCAGAGTGCCGCCACCCTTAGGCTGGCCATTAGCCAGGGCTCTCCTGAGGACAGGGGCCACATTTTCATCCAGGTGTGTCATTGCTCTCCCCAGAGAGCTACTGTTTAACAAACAATCGACTCCATATTCTACTGGGGTTAGCCAGAGCGAGCCTGGGGGTGTTTGCAGTTTCTACAGCGATGCCTGTCCCTAGCCTAGAGTCAGACGTTCATTTAGAATGAAAGTTGGCTTGGATACAGCTAATTTCCGTGTGGGTTTTAGGTAAGAGAGATGGTAGTAATGTCAGACAGCTTACGTGGGCAGAAATTGGTAGTTTTCATGTCTCTTGAATGCCAGGTATCTAGCCAACCCAGAACCTCTAGCTCTGCTGACATGTATAGAAGCTGGGTAGTCAGTACTTGTAGCCTGCCTCGTCTTCAGCAGCTGTGCTGATGTGACGTGATGGTGAGCGCTACACCAAGACCCGTCACTGGGAGAATGAGGAATGACCGCTGCCTTTCTCAGAGTTGGACACCTGAGGGTCAGTTCCCCTCACATGGGTGGGGGGGATTCCTTGTCAGCTCTGGGACTCACTGGAATGAAGATGCTTCAGTTTCTTTTCTGTTTAGACTTTGTGTGTGTGTGTGTGTGTGTGTGTGTGTGTGTGTGTGTGTGTATGTATGTATGTATGTATGTATGTATGTATGTATGTATGTATGTATGTATCTGTGTCTGGAGTTACAGGCATCCGTGAGCTACTTGCTGTGGGTGCTGATGCTGAACCCCGGTCTTCTGGAAGAGCTGCATGTGCTCTCAACCGCTGAGTCCTCCCTCCAGCCCGAAGCTTATGTTTCTGGAGAACTGATTGGTGGCTTTCAGAAGAAAGTCAAACCTGTAAGAAGATCCTTCTTTTGTGGATCTTTCAGCCTTCTCATCCCTGCTTCCTTACTAAAAGTATCTCTCGAGGAGAGAACAACAGGGTACATGCGCTTTCCAGTAATGGACAGATTGCTGCTTTCTAGCTCTCCCCAAAACCGAACGGTCCCTTTGTGTCTCAGAACTGTAACCTAGGAAAGATTGTCCATTTCTGCAGAATGGGCGTCTTTCGGCCATAGAGACGGGAGAGTCCTCAGGGGAAAACTCCCTCTTCATGTGCTTGGTTTTCACACATGGACTTTTCTGGGATCCCAAAGATCAAAGATACTTTGTGAGACCTTAAATTTGCCTTGGCCTTGTCGCTTCATAGAGGGGAAACAGGAAATACACACTCAGCCTTCTGAAGTGCCTGTTTCTAGGAGATAGGAAACCAGGGGCTATCCCAAGCAACCTCCACTAGGCCCCAGGCCATCTTCAGCATATATTCCTATACTTTTGAGCTTGCTTATGAGCTCCAGTTGTTTGTGGAGTTTTGTTGTAGGCCTTAGTATTCTCCAGGTGGTAAAAGATTTAACTGGAGTCTTTAAAAGGTCAAGGCCTTGCCAGTGGGGGTACATGCCTTTAATCCCAGCACCTGGGAGGCAGAAGCAGGTGGATCTCTGAGTTTTAGGCCAGCCTGGTCTACAGAGTTCCAGGACAGCCAGGGCTACACAGAGAAATCCTGTCTTGAAAAAACCCAAAAAACCACCCATCCAACCAACAACAAAAAAGATCTAGGTCTTTGTGAATGGGCTGTCCGAAGCATCCAGTGTGGCTAAGCCACCAGTCCCTTGACCATGGGAGAAAGTGCTCCTCAGAAATGTGACTCAGAGAAGCAGGTTCTCTCTCTCGGCCTACAGCTGAGCTTCATAAAGACCCATTCCGTCCCGATCCCCTACGTAACCACCACACCACCACTCACGGGCGGGCTACTCTGAAGGCCGCTAAAATGAAGCCTTAAATGTGTTTTGGGGACAGTGCTGTCAGTTTCTCCAGCCACATAGTTGTATAGGATATTGTAAATCTCTGCTCTCCAAGGGGCACTTTCCTCGGGGAATGCGTTGATTGTTGTCTACTGTATCATCGGCCTAGAAGGAAGATTGCTGTCAGCTTCCTCGCCTGCAATCGTCCTTGGGATTTCTAATATTTTTAGCAAGAGAAAACTTTGTATACTAGAACCTTCCACTGCCAGAAAACACAATGCCAGTAAGAGTCTGTGTAATACTCCATCTGCCCGACAGACTTCCTTCCTTTGGGTAGGACATGAGCTGTTTATTATAAAGCAGAACCCAGTGGACGCACAGCTTTACCCGCTAAGTGTAAGAAGTAATGCTCTGTGCATCCCCTCATCTCTTTAAACTAGCTAGCTAGGTTTCTATGACTTCACTTTCTGTTAGCCATACTTGGATGCCCTGCCTTTCAAAAAGGAGACTTTTATGCGAACAAGCAGTGGGTGTGACTTGTGCTGGAGGCGCCTGCCTAGAAGCCGGTTTGCTTAGCAGCATTTGACAAGTCGACTGTTTCCTGTCACATGCCGAGGTCATTCGGGAAGAATGAAAACCTTGTCGAACTGAACACTGAATGAAACTCGGGATGTGCTGGTGAATGTTCGCTGAGATTCCTGCAACTGTTCTGAACAGCTGAACTGAGTCCTGACACTGGCGGACAGTCATCTGCACTTGAACTGGCTCTGACATTTCACTGCAGGGACAGCGGGCTGAATGGGGAGCAAAGCCCGTGGCTTGCTCCAGCTTGGGCTTGTGATTCATTAGGACTGGAGCCTTCCTGGGGTGCTTTTCACCTTTAGAGACTCATATTATTCAAGGCAAAGCTTTCAAACCAGGGGTAGTCTGCTTTAATGATGCAAATACAATTTTGATGTTTTTCAGGCAAAGCCATTGACAAATGCCATGTAAGAGCAACAAGCTCCATGTGTGGTGCCCAGGGTCTGGGTGATGGGATGATCTGTTAGGGCTTTGGGGCCTTTTCATGTGATCTAATTTCGGGTCTGACATTAGACTAAGTGAAACCCAGGAATGAGTTTAATATTAAGTACAATATTTAATATGGATGGCCCAACACCATGAAGTAGGATTCCTGAAGCCAAGCTGGGGGCTAAGGGCTGGACAGTTTGCACTCTTTGTACCTGTATCCACACCAATCACCTCAGACTCAGGCGTAAGGCCTTTGAAATGGAGATTTTACAAACTCCTGCCATTTGTGCAAAACAATGTCCTGTGACAAGCTGTTTAAAAGGAAAATAAAGTGCTTTCTTTACAGAAACCGTTGGTGATTTTTGTGTGTCCTGAAAGTGTTTTGCTTTGAAAACCATAAGCTGTGGCGCCGCCTCCTGATACCTTTGTCCCCATCCTGTGGTCCTCGCTGACCCTAAACTTCCTCTTCCCCTCCCTGGTTCTGTAGATCAGGTACTGTCTATTCAGGCACTGGTTAGCTTCACCATGGCCCATCAAGACTCTGACCATTGAGAGGGGACTATAAGCTGGCACTGTGGCCCAGTCAAAATATGTGTCCTCAAAAGCAATTTCTGGTTGGTGCTCAGGGTGAGGCAAAGATAAAGTTTAAGATAGAAAACTTAATTTTATATGACTTATTTAAGACATGTTTACTGAAGGAATTCACCCTCTTCTGCGGGCTTGTCATTAAATTAATATTTGTGTGTAGTTTTGACTTTTTAAGTTGTTAATGGCCAATATTTCCTTAGTGTGCTATAATTAAGTATAAACTGTGACTTAGATGGAATGAGATTAAATATGATTTTAGTCCCATTTTTCTTGTGGCCACTGGTCTTCCAAACACTTGTGTTTTTAGATGACACCGTATGATGATATTAAAGGAAAAGGTGTGTGACCGGGCTGCAGTTCAGTTCTGGCATCCTGTTGTCCCTCAGCCCACCACTACATATCTTTCATGAGAAAAGGACCAGAGCCACTGCGCTAGTGCGGCTAAGTAGCTTAAGAACTGTGCTGGATCAAACACGTTCACTCAGACAGTTTACTTTACCAATTCAGATGTTCTGGGCTACCACGATCTTTCTCATTTTACTGTGTGCATTTGTAGACTATTTGAATTTGTCACAATAAAGATATGTTTTATAATGAAAAAAATTCCTAGCAGATGATTCTGTGTAAAAGTTCACAGAAGGGAACATTTGATCAGTCTTTATAGAATTCTAAATATTAGAACATTCTTTGAATTCAGTATAAGTTGCCAGGCCAAGCAGACAAAGCAGATGGATTACTCGGAAGCTGCAGTCAGGAGCATGGCTAGGCATTTTGATGAGGGGCTGGGTGGTCCTTGCTGGAGCTGTTACTAGCTTTGGAGTGTCCTTCCTGCTCATCAAGGGGCCGGGGCATCCTAGTTGCTCTGGAATCAGGAGAAGCTGCTGCACTCTGCTGCAGCTGTAGAGAGTACCTTTTAATCTGCTTGCCATTGGGATGGGCCCTGTTGGGCACCCTGTCACTCATGCTGTGGCTGGAGAATACAGGCCGCCCATCCCTTCTTTTCTAGGTACTCACTGCTTTGTTTCTATCTAATGTTACACTTCCCAGCATCTCACAGGAAGTGATAAGGCTGTATCTTCCTTCACAAGTCCAGGCAGGCAAACACTCATCCTTTTTAAAGTTTATTATGCTAAAAATATATAAAATACACTGAACAGTGGTGCTCTAGACTGCTCCTTTGGTTGACCCCACTGTGACAGACATTACAACAGGTGCCTAGTAACCCAGGAGAAATCAAGAAGGAAGAACAAATTCCCAAGATATTTCCACTGGTCCATGACACATCTAGAAAGTAAACCAGGTTCAGATAGGTGTGTGGGTGGAGATAACCTGCACGATCCTGGCACCAAAGACCCCCTTGAGGACAAGCATGTAGCCCCTGGCACACAGCTGTCACAACGGTGTGAGGATCTGGAAGTCTGGAAGGATGTCGGCGACCTTCCGACGGAGCTGCTCTCGACGTTCTTCCTTGACTCTTTCTTCTTTCGTCAATTTCACAAACGCCTTCCATGTCCGAAGTGCGACACTGAGAATCTTCCTGTAGGAGGAGGAGGGAGAGGTGGAAATCAATGGCAAATCCGACAGTACACAATGCTGTTAGTAAGAATCGATGGGATGGCTGTGTGGTAAGTTGACATTTGCACAGAGAACCGGGCGCTGACAGTGCAGGCTTTGAGACTCCTCAGTGGATCTGGTCACAGCCTGTCTATTGACCAACCGGGACCAGGACTTCTGACGGGCCTGGGCAGACAGCAGTCGAGGTAAAGACACTGACATGCCTGGATCCGGAAGAGCTCAGGGCACCCAGGCCTTAGTGATTACATAATTTAAAGCTTGACTGGTGAGTGCATCCCCAGCTGTAACAGAAAACATCTGGAATTCAGCTGAGAACAAAGATGCAAAAACCAAGTGTGGAAAGGTGATGGGGGGGGGGGTCCCAGGTCGAAATGGAGTGCTGTCGTGGGGAAGCATGCCTGCCTTTTGAGGACTGACCATGCCTACACCAGCCGTGCACTGGGGATGCTGAGGTGAGGCCTAATAGTCTCTGCCCATTAGGCAGAGGTAGTGCTGAGGGGAGGGTCGGTCGGGGGCAGAGAAGCTCAGGCACTGCCCAGTCTCAGGGTGAGGAACGTCTGAAGTGTTGAAAGGCAGCGGAACTGAATGGGCTATTCCTGAAGAGAGCAGGTCTTGAGGAAAGGTGGGGAGTCACACAGAGTTACAAACTGGAACACAAGCACAGGGTTGCCGAGGCTCTTTGTAAAACTAGTTCTGGCCTCTTAGCCAGCTAACAATGCCCCAGAATGCACCTCAGTCATTAATTTACGGCTGTTGGTTGGATGATGTTTTGGATAATGTTGACTTCTGTTGGTGAAAACATTACTTTAAAAACCTAAGAAGGTCCCAGTGAGCAGAACCACTTCACTGCGTTCAATTCCTCTCCACTCGGCCCACCACTGAGAGCTTCCTGTGGTCGTCTCTAGGGCCCACCCCAGGCTTGACTTGACCCACCCTCCCTCCCTCCCTCCCTCCCTCCCTCCCCTGTTGTAATACAGATCCTCTCCCCTAACTATACTCCAGGCTTTCTAACTCTTCCACATCGGCTCCTCTTAGTCTACCTCCTGAAGTCTCCGCTTGCTCTAGGGCAATAAACAGAGCAAAGAAATGGACAGACACACTGAGGCGGGCTGCTGGTCAGTGGGGGACGTCTGAGCAGAGCTGAACGATGTGAAAGATAAGACTGTGTTTGCCCTTAAGCTGAGGTGGACTTGCTGCCTCTGAGGGGCAGAATAGGAGGCCAGTGGGGCAGGAACAAGGAACAGAGTGGGAAAGAGACACAGTCATACCAGTGCTTCTGCACCAAGAGGGGGACTTCATTTCTTGTGGACTGCACAATTTTCCTATACTGACTTCAGAGCCTGAAAGGGAGCGCTGTCCTGCTGTTATAATGACAGCGAGGAAGGAAAGTGGGAAGGGAGATGTCAAGAGCGGGATGATTTGAGCAAGAAAACCCTGTGCAGAGTCCAGTGAGCCGCCTGCTGTGTGCTATTTGTACACGGGGGTGCGGGCTGTTCCCCTGTTAGAAAATGAAATCATGATATCACTCCCCCAGGGTCATTACAGTCATCATAAGACATAGCCTGTGCTAAAACCCCAAATGAACCCTCGGGCTGAGGAAGATGGACAACTGAGGCAGATCAAAAGAGGCTGGATGCACATTCTCAGTGGCATGAAACTCAGCACACCCAGCAGCTGTGACCGGGCTGAGCAGCGCATTAGTCCATTACTATTTCCTTGTTCAGGCTTCACAACAGCCCAGAGGGAAATTCGGTTCTTACTCATTTTCAAGATGTTTTAAATTCTACAGGCCTTATCTTTTATTACATTTGTTTGTTTATCGTGCATTGTGTGTATGTGTGTACGTGGTATGCACGTGCCACGTGAGATCATCAGTCTCCGTGGCAGGCACCATTACTCACTAGGCCATCTTGCTGACCCTGTAACAGAAGATTCAAAAGTTCAGTCACATGACCCTGAATCCTAGCCTTCCTCTGAAGCGGATACACTTATTCAAAGATAAGTCCCCTGAATACTGTCACTTACTGCATAGTCATATTTATTTAGACCAAATTATAATACACTTGTTAGTCTACTCCCAGCCCACTGATTCCAGTAACTATGCATTCAGAACAAACAGGTTTTGCTAGGAGTGGGTGTCCTGGTGTAACAAAATGTGAAAGAGATGTGCATACACAGTGAAAATACAGCATCCCAAAATGAGTGTGAGGCAGGGAGGAGGGAACGACTCCACACCTCACAAGCCTCCATGTCTCAGAGGGGTCGCTCTAAGTGTCCACTACATGAACTGTGCTTCTCAGGAGTGACACTTGACCATCAAAGAGAGCTTCCTGTCTACTCTCAGAACATTTCTGTACAAATGCTTCGGGACGTTCTAGTGAGAAAACATATATATATATACTCGTTTGTATTTGTGTGGATTACATTATTTTTCAATAAGACCTAACTGTATTTTAAACATTAGCTAATAATACAGCATCTATGCACAGAATTCAAAAGAAGGAAAAGCTACACAGGTGTTGAAGGCGCCATGCTTAGGAGGGGAGCAGGGAAGTGTTCACTGTACAAGTCAGTGGGTTCATTTAGCGGTAGGAGGGACTTGTGAATAGGAAGCGGCCTGTGCGACAAAGATTTTCCGCCTTGACCTCAGTTGTGCTGACATGGGTGTCCAGTAATTTCAGTCTTTGTATGGTTTACACACTTTAAAATTTTGTGCTATGTTTCACAATATTGAAAAAGGCAAACTTAAAAATGAAGGTCTGTGTTAAGGGTGCTTGTTGCTCTTGCAGAGGACCTGCGTTCGGTTTCTAGTGCCCACATGGTGGCTCACAACCACTTCTAACTCCAGGTCCAGGGGATCCTATGTGGACACCAGGCATGCATGTGGTACACATGCATTTGCACGGGCTCTCCCTCTCACACACATTAAGAAACTAAAACTGTGTGACTAATAAGGAACACATCTGCTTATGTGTCCTTTTGTTCACATTTGGTCCCTGGCAGCACAGGCCTCCTCCTCATTTGAAAGTTGCTTTCCCGTGCGCTCTCACCCGTGTGAATCGGGAGAGCCCAGCTCTCCTGGCTGCACCTCATGTTTCCACAGAGCAGCAGTGAGGATGTTACGGAAGCTGGGGAGTCAGTGAGCTTGAGAGTGCCAAGCCTTACCTGTCACAGTGTTCCCAAGCCTTACCTGTCACAGTGTTCCCAAGCCTTACCTGTCACAGTGTTCCCAAGCCTTACCTGTCACAG